CTCACAAAACCACAGTTCCCAGAATTCTCTAGCATTGAGCCAGGGCAGTTAAAGAGGTCTCAAACAGGATTATTTCTGCTGTGTATTTCAGACCTAAGGCAGAAAAAATGAAATGTGAAGATATAGGATGGGGACATGGGAAAGGGATCTAAGAGTCTAGACCACAAGCGGAAGAGGATTCTGTAGTGTGATGCAGCAGCTAAAAAAGCCAATGCAATTTTAAGCTTCATCAATAGGTGTCTAGTGTCTAGATCAAGGGAAATAATTATACTTTTCTACTTTACTTTGATCAGACGTCATCTGGAATACTCTGGGCACCACAATTCAAGAAGGATATTGAGAAGCTGAAATGTATTCAGAGGAGGCTGAACAAAATGATAACAAGTATGGAAACAATATCATTTTAGGAACAGCTTAGGGAGCTGGGGATGTTTAATTTGGAGACAAGAAGGTTAAGAAGTGACATGCTAACCATGTTTAAATATTTCAAAGCATTCATACTGTAGATAAAGCAAGCTGGTTTTCTGCTGCTCCAGAGACTAGAACACAGAGCAATGGATTTAAACTAAAGGACAAGAGAAGTCACGTAATCATTAAAAAGAATTTGCTGATGCTAAGAGCTATTTGACAGTGGAATATGCTGCCATGGAGTGTGGTGGCATCTCCTTCTTTGGAGGTTATTAAGCAGCTGTTGGGAGTGCTTTGATGGTATATTTTTGGATGGCAGCGGTTTGGACTGGATGGCCCTTGCGGTCTTTTCCAACAGTTTGAGTCTATTAGTTAGTTAGCTTCCTCACTCCTTCCCAGTTGTTATGACGCCATGGTTCACCTTTGACTGTACTCTGGATCCACCTTCTAGCTAGAAGCAAGAGTAGATTTAATGTTCTTTATTCCATCTTCCAAAATATGTGAGAAAGAATAATCCCCTCATTTCACTTAGATCAAGGAATAGCCCCTTTAGCTAAGATTTCTGTCTAAATTTCCAAAGAGGAAAATATGTTCTCTCTATGTGTGTGTTTGAATGACAAGTTGTGAGTAACTGTGGTTGGTACTTACTGTATGATGCTTTATGACATCACCAGGGGCTATTCCTAGAGCTCAGGTTTCTGCTTGGAAACCTCAGGGCATCGCCCTGAATCTGAGCTGGTAACCTCATCTGTCATGTATGCTGATGGTTGTCAATTGAAGGATAGTACTCTGACCCGAGGTGGTTTTCATCACTTATTCTTTTAGCAATTTCTTTTCTTGCTGCCTCAGTTTTCTTCAAATAGAAGGAAGGCAAAAACAAAAGGGAAGTAAATCTGGGGAAAGTAACTATTTATGGGCAGTGTTATATTAATAAGTCAAACAAATTAAAACAATTCAGAATTTAAAAAAGTAAATCGTAAACCACAGTCTAAAACCATACTAAACTATGGACCTTTGCAGACTGCCAGAAATAGTGCACATTAAATTGAGGCACTGCCCTGGCTCAGTACTAGGGAGTCATGGGAATTGTATTTTTTTCTGAGACATTGAGCCTTCTCTGTCAGAGAGCTCTGGTGCCACAATAAATTACAGTTCCCATGATTCCCTAGCACTGAGCCAGGGCAGTGCCTCAATTTAATGTGCACTATTTCTGGCAGTCTGCTTAGGCCCTATGTGACAGTATAAAACAAATTACATAGTTAAAACTATGTTCATATACAAATTGGATAAATCTTTTCACTTTTGAGGACAACAGCTCCCAGAATCCCTCCACAAGCATGGCCAGGGATGCTCTGAACCTGACCCAATAATACAGACTCAGGGCCTCGGCAGACGGCTTATTAAGCCGTCTTGGAGGCAGGGAAGAGGAGGGGCAGCCGCACACTCAGCGCCCCTTCCTCCTCTCGAGGTTGCCCTCGGAGCTGCTGGCCCTCCGCACAGCCGGCGCTCCAGGGGCAACCTCCCGCCGCAGCGTCCGCACACGCTGCAGCGGATAAGTCAGCAAAAGTGCGCCTCATGCTTTTGAGGCGCACTTTCACTGACTTGTGAAAGGAACGCTATTTTAGTGCTCCTTTCAGGGGCGGCGAAAGTGCAGCGCTGAATCAAGGCATGGGGATGCCTCAATCCAGCGGCGCACCTTCCCACGGTGGCCCAGAGCCGCCAGTCTGCTTCCCCCATTCTTCACTAATGATCCAAAATACCAGTGAGAAATGGTATTGGTAGACTGTGAAACCGAGAGATGCTGATGGTGATGATGACGACAATGAATACTACTACTAGACCTTTTCTGAGGTTGCAAAACCACTCTCTTTATCTGTTTAGCATGAAAGAAATTTAAAGCCAGAAATTTAAAAATGAAGTTCTGGCCACTTCCAGGGGTTGTTTGGTTTACTGAATTTTTGGCAGTCCATGCAGCCCACAAGGGTCCCAGGGCAAAAAATTAACCCCCAGGCTCCTCACATTTCCCCGCCCCTGTCATCGTGCAGCTTGTACTTTCCTACACTAAAGAATTAGAGAACTTTTGGTTCATGCAATATGTTGATTTATGGTATGTAAATCATTGATGATCCAACTGCATGCAACAAATCTTTTCAGGCTAGCTTTGAATTTGAAGCTGAAGAAACAGGAGAGATCTTTGTTTTTATTAACAGGAACCACAACCCTAAAGAGGGTTAAGTATCTAACACCAATATGCTGCTAAGTTGTTTTTGAAAAGTACCTGTAAAGAATTTAAGTATAGTGGCAAACTCATCTATTGTACAGTCTGCTTCCCTAGATCAAATGTGTAAAAAATTATCATGTAATATTTGAAGCCATTTAAAATCCTCTGCATATGTGCATGTATGTCTTTTCTCTCAACAGAAAGATGACAGATAGATAGATAGATAGATAGATAGATAGATAGATAGATAGATAGATAGATAGATGCTTGTTATCCTAATTGTTCCACATGAGCAATTTTATTGTCAGAAATTGTTAGTATACTTGCTCTAAATGCTTTTCCTTATTAGTATTGCTAAGATTAATTTTATGTATCCCTGCCTATGATACTTTTTTCCCTTCTCTTTATGTTATAAAAATGTTGTGTTGTATAAAAATACAAGATACTAGCATAGGGATATGTCACATGCAAAATACATTACAAGGTCAAAGGCAGCCTCAACTTCATCTTTCCTTTTCATTAATGTTTTTAGAAGGAGTCTTCCAACTCATAGGTGCTGGTGCAATGGGATTTGATATGAAGATGTGACACCTCATCTTAAATTCCTGAACCACATTTCTTAAGTTGACAAGGATGTCAGCAAGTGTCCCTGATAATGCTTGCTGTCCTCTCTGAGCTGACTAATCATACATGAAGTCTTGGCAACAGATAACCTGGTTACAGTAGAGCCAAAATGACATCACATCAACTCCATTTCATAACCTGTAGACACCAGTGCCTATCACCACTCCAGGTTGCTAACATCCTTGACACACAAATGGTATTTTCAGTCTCGGACGTCCCCTTTTAACTCTGTATCTGTCAGGCTTGGGTAAAATCAGGAGCACATTTGTCACTAAATGTAAAGAACCATTAGCTCCCGGGCACTTTGTCAGCCAAATCATCCTTAGCTTCTGTATGCCACTCACTGAATATCCCCCACCACCCAACCCTTCACCCTGGAGTTCTTGCTATTTGCATAACAGTTTGACCACATGAAAATCAGTGATCTAGGGATAATGCCAAAGAAGTTGTTCACAATTCCATGCAAAACTCTAACCAAAAGGAGGAATGGGGGAGGAGGGTTGTGCAAGGAAGGAAAGAATGAAAAAGAAAATGGACTGTTGCTTTAAATCTTAGAGAGTTGTTCACATCAATAATGAATTTCTAATAATTTATTCACTTCAGGAATAAGTGGTTGGCATACAGTCCTTGCAGCTGGTTTGTTGAGATAATTGATTTCCATATAGTTTAAAGATGGGAGGGGGTAGGAAGGGGGAAAAAGAAATATATGACGACTACTGTGAGTTTTTGATGGAAGCCATGAATGCCATATCGGTTTAATTATAGCTCCCTCTTTAGCTGACATGGGGCCTTTCCTATTGGAATTAAAATATCCCAGCAACTTGAAATGGAACAGCAATGAATTTTTAATGTCCTTTTACCTAGCTTGTATGCTAGCTCAGGGCACCGTTACAAGCGTACTTTGAGCTTTTATCCCACTAGATAGTTAACATGACATGCAAGACTGGTCTGTGTGACATAGATAACTCAAGGGAACAGCAGCAAAGTAAATGAGAGATATTAGTATTTGGATGCAAAGAAGGGAGGGGAGGGATGTTGATGAAACAAATTCTTAGAACCTCTTGTTTAATTTCAAGAATTGGTTCCTTGCCACCATCCCAGCTCTCCTTCTCTCATCTCCTCCTCTGCACAAAGATTTCTAAATGGTAATCTCTTTCAGGAAATGAGATGTTCCTTTTCCAGGTCCTAATATCAATATGTAAAAGAAAGATAGGGAGGGAAGGAGGAAGAGAAGAATCATTAACAAGATGTACTACTCAACAAGGTGTATTAAGTGTCAACAAGCTAACCTGGGTGATAACATGAGTCTTTCAGCTAAGATCTACAAATATTAGCAGGGGTAAGATTGGAAAGAGAGCCAGCATAGTATATAGTGCATTGGACTACGACTCTAGTGACCAGGGTTTGAATCCCCACTTGGCCATGGAAACCCAGTGGGCAACCTTGGGCATGTCATATTATTTCAGCCTCAGAGAAGGGCAAAACCAGCTCCCCTTTAAACAAATCTTGCCAAGAAAAGCCTGTGATAGATTGCCATAAGTTGGAAATGACTTGAAGGCACACAACAAAAACAAGAATGTTAGGAAAACTGGACAGACTTCAAGGAAGTAGCTATGTTCTGTTGCAGAAAGACCCAAGTCTTGTGGCACCTTAAAGTCTTGTTGATGTTAATTGTCATCAGTCAACTTTGACTTGCGGGGACTATATGACTGAGAGAGAGAGAGAGAGAGAGAGAGAGAGAGAGACAGAGAATGTAGCATAGTGGTTTGGGTGCTGGACTAGGATTCTGGAAGACCAGGGTTTGGATCCCTGTTTGGTCATGGAAATCCATTGCATGACTTTTGTCAGCCTCAGAAGATGGCAAAGTCAAATTCTCCTCTGATCAAATCTTACTAATATATTTGCCTTTGGGTCACCATAAATTGGAAACAACTTGAAGGCACACAACAACAACAACAACAACAATAATGAATGAGAGACCTCCAAGTCACCTTGTTATCAACAGCCTCCTCAGGTTTTGTAAACTCAGCCATGGCTTCCTTGATTGAGTCTATCCATCTATAATCCATTCTTCCTCTTTTCCCACTGCCTTCCACATTACCAGGCATTATTGTCTTTTCTAATGAGTCATGTTGTCTCATATGTCCAATCTGAGTAATTTTAATTTAGTCATTTTGGCTACTAGGGAAAGTTTCATGTTTAATTTGCTCTTGAACATTCATTTCTCATTTAATTAACAATCTATGGTGCCCTTAAAGTCTAGGAAATGCTATTTGGTATAAGTTTTTGTGGGGTGCAGACCACTTCATCAGATGCAGATGAGGGAGGAATTATATTCATACATGCTTATGGCAGAAAGAGAGCAGGGGTGTGTGGTTGCCATTTACAGATCATTCCATGTAACAGAAAATCTCCTAATATGAATAGAAATAGTGAATAAAGAGGAGGGGGAGGGCAAATGATTGGCAACTTTGCACATACACAGGAATTTAATGGCAGAGTTCCTAATACATTACTATTCCTATGAAAGTACAGACAGGTTGGTATCAAACTAAAAGGATGCTGTCTCCACGCTAATCTAATAATGTTTCAAATATCTGCAAGCCAGTGCCTCTGTCTGTCTCCTGCAACTTCCTGCTGTTGAAGAGTTGTGTCAGTAAAGACGAGAGGGGTCATCAAAAGAAACATGGGTTTTGGTCTTGTGACCTGAAACACAGCGATCCACCAATATCCTTTCCCACTGAAAGCAGGAACAAGATCTCTCAGAGTTAAGGGCTGCTATGACATCAGTAGTTAATGCACCAATCTTTTTGCACTCTCTCCCCTATTTGTATGCTGGAAAATGTTGACCTCTAAATGGCAAGCTGAGCAATTCTGCAGTTTTGAAAACATTCCCACCAGCAGGCATCTCATTATAGTGGGACCTCACCACCATTTCCATCTGCAGATTTGTGCATAAGAGGATAGCAAGCCCTGTTGTCCCCAATGGTGGCACATGCACCCAGCTGCACTAGCAGCCATGCACATGTCGCACCACCACTAGGGACAACAGGACTAAAGGTCCTGCATTTTTTCATATCCTTTGGGGGTGGGTGGGTCCAAAATGTACCTCCCATGAATACGGAAGTGCGACTCTGTATTATTTGTCAATATGAGTCCATAATCTTTCTTTACAATCATGTGTGTTGTTTTCCTGCCTGTTATTTTTAAAGGTAAAGAGTGATAGTTCTTAATTTTATATAGAGGCTGGGTATTTAGTGTTGCAGTTACAGATTCATAACCTATAACTGGTCTGTATTTAGTAAGACTATGTAGTGGTGTAGTGGTTGGAGTGTTAGACTACAACTCTGGAGACCAGAGTTCAGTTCCCCACTTGGCCATGAAAATCCACTGAGTGACCTTGGGTGAGTCACATACTCTCAGCTCCATAAAACCTTTGAAAGGTTTGCCGTAGGGAACATAAAGACACACAACAACAATGTATAATATTACTGGAAATCTATGTTAATGCCACCTTAAGACTGAGCACAGGAGTTCCATTCAGATTCCAAATGGAATCTGCTAGGGAGATAGCTTGCAACAATCAAAAACAGGATTCTGGTTACAAGCCCTTATCATGACCTTGCTCAATGGACTGCCTTTGCTGGTTCTTAAGGTGTCTGACAGCTCAGCTCAGGAGATGTTACACATCTGCATAACTAAGTAGCTGATCTAATATATCAGCAACTGTGTCATGGGATTTAACAACTATTACAGAGAAGAGGTCTCCACATTTTTCCAGGCTGCCACTCACTTTCCACTTGGGGAACAACCCTAGCAACCCTAGCAGACTATTAGGTCTACTGTTCTATTGCAAATTTAAAAACAACTAATCTTGGTTGCTGCTCCCTCTGCACCTAGTCACCCTCAAAGCAGCAACCAAGCAGCTGACTGAGCAGTGGCTAAGAAATGTGTCACTAATGCCAGCCTTGTGGCAATGGCTGGTGTAGGTGAGAAGCTTCTTAGTCACCGCTTGACTGACTGTTTGGTCACTGCTCCCATTGGAACTGGTCACTCTCAGAGCAGCAACTGAGCAGCTGGCTGAGGAGTGACCAAGAAGCCTCTCATCCATGCCAGCCTTGTGATAGTGTGGGCAAGAAGTATCCAGCCAGTTGCTCAGTTGCAGCTCCCAGGGTGAACCAGGGTGACCTAGTGCAAAGGAAGAAGCTTTTCCCTGGTAAGGACGGACTCTCAATACTTCTTCATCGGGACAGAGAGGGACACAAACAATGTGTGTATAAGTGGTTTACAGAGGCCACATACTCTGGACTGGAGACTGTCATGGACAGGGAGAGGGAGATATTTTAATTACAGTAGCCACTCCAAGGCGAAGGACTCTTTCCAAGACCCAGCCCCAGATACTCCTCCCCTCCTTCCCCAGAGGCATGTCTTCCCCACACAGCTTCAAGTGTCCCCTCTCACACAAACATTGTTTCTTCTGTTGCCTATTCTAATGCCCCAAGAAACTACAAATCCTAAGATTCCATAGGATGAAGCCATGCCAGTTAAAGGGGTGTCATACTGCATTGTTTATGCAGTGTGGCAGCAGCCTCTGAGCTACAAAATCAGCCAAGAACTGATACAATTCCCACCAAGTGCTGATCTCCAGTTGGATACTGGAGAAGAAAAATTTTGTGGGAAATTCTAACAGCGATTCCCCGGGGTGCTGGAAAGGATCTTTTTGCCAGCTGCCGTTGAACTGTGGAATGACCTGCTGGGAAAGATTCAACCACTAAACATGCTGCCTGAATTAAAACAGTATTAAAGATATTTCTTTTCTGGCAGGTCTACCCAGTCAATCTTAAACTATGAATTTTAAATTGGTATATTTTAAATTTATGTTGGAATGACTTTAATGTGTAATGGTTGTTTTAATCTTATGTGTATTTAAATGGTTTAAATGTGTTTAAATTTTTGTATGTGTTTAGTTACATCAGGGGTAGGCAACCTTTCCCCTTTAAGGGCCGAGGGACTTCAGCTCCCAGAAGCCTCAGCCATGTTGGCCAATAGTCCCATGTTGGCCAATAGCTCCTGGGATTCTGGGAGCTGAAGTCCCTCGGCCCTTAAAGGGGAAAGGTTGCCTACCCCTGAGTTACATATTGTATATGCCATACCCTACCTCAAGCCTTGGGGAAAGGCAGGTCAGAAATTTTTTATTATTATTATTATTATTATTATTATTATTATTATTATTATTATTATTATTATTATTATTATCTGCTGTCCAGGAGCAAATTACTGAGCCATGATGCTACATATCAGTAGTGGGCACTCCTGTAGAACTTGAAGTAGCTAGTTGTGAATTAATAATTAGTAACAACTTGTTACATATAATTGTTTTACACTACTTTAACTGATTTTAATCTGTCTTTTAGCTTAAAACAGTTTCATATTTGCATATTTTTGTTTCCCTTCAAAAGGGTTAACACCCTGGGAAACTAAAATTGTGTCCCACACTTTTACAGTACTTTAACTGATTTTAATCTGTGTTCTAGCTTAAACAGTTTAATATGTCTTTAACCTTGTGAACATACAATTAACAAAAAAAGCCATTTAAGAGCACTTTAAAAAACATACACATAGCTATCTTACAGTATGCTTGCAAATTAACAAGGGGCAGCTTCATTCCTTTTGTGGTGTAAACGTAACATCTAGTTGATTACTTATATTAATTATGAGGTGTGGCCTCTAATGTGGAATTGCTTCTCCCAGCTACAACAGGTACGACTAGTAGGCCGTACTGGTAAATGAAGGATCCAACTTTATTTAGAGAAAGAAATACATTTCTTTCCATCCTGATAAACCAGAATCTGAACAAAATGAGAACCCTTAGACACAAGCTTGTACATTCTAATATAGTTTGCCATGGTTGCCAAGTTATTACTGCAAAACCCATGTGCTGGGAAAATTCCATCAAGTTAACAAATTTGATAGACATTTTGATTATATGCTAGACATAAGATGGTCATGCACAGCCTCTAAGGTAAACAATCATTCTCCAGTATGCAAAGAGATCTTGAAGCACCTTTGAGACTAAGGGGCTATACTTGTGATGGGCAACCTTTTGAGCTTGGTGTGTCAAACTTCACCAAAAGACTGAGCATAACTTGGGTGGTGTGTCACTTTGAGGAAAAAACATTATTTCGCTGCCAGAAGAAGGAGGGACTGGCCTAAATACCTTGGCCTGGGCCTGGGCCTCTTCCTGGTCCCACGCTGGTGGTGCCGCTGCGCCTGAAGTCCCAGAACTAGATGCTCTGTCCCAGACTTCTGTTGTTTTGGCCTACAGACCTCCAGCACAGAGTGTCTAATAGGGGAGAATGAAACATTTGCAACTAGAGTCTTAGAGTTAGAGTCTAACTCCAAGACTCTAGTCCAGGGGTAGGCAACCTTTCCCCTATAAGGGCTGAGGGACTTCAGCTCCCAGAAGCCTCAGCCATGTTGGCCAATAGTCCTATGTTGGTCAATAGCTCCTGGGATTCTGGGAGCTGAAGTCCCTCAGCCCTTAAAGGGGAAAGGTTGCCTACCCCTGCTCTAGTCACAAACGTTCCATCCTCAGGAGCAGCAAATGTTTCATCCTCGGCTCCTGCACTTGGCCATGCAGGAGCCGAGGATGAAACATCCTTCTTGGCATGCGGCCACCTCAGTAGCCACGTGTCATCAGAAATGGCTACGCGTGTCAGTCCTGACACACGTGTCATAGGTTCGCCATCACTGGACTATACAGACCGGGCAAAAGGGCTGGCCTGGGGGTGGAGTCAGGATGTGGCGATTACATGCCAGC